ACTTTGACTCACGCACTTGATTAAAAATTATTGTAATAAATAACTGATTACAAATTACAAACACATAATCACAATCTGAGAGAATTTTCTCTTAGAATTTGCCCTGAAAATTGTGGTAATCGTAGGATAAATTGTATGGAAAAAATTTTATTAGAATTCCTCTAATTAATATTTATCACATTCAAAATAATAATATCTATCACAATAAAATATGAAACATGTTTTATTAATTTTACTAAACCGTAAAGTAAAATTAATGAAATATATTTTATATTTTATTGTGATAAATATTATTATTTTGAATGTGATAATTATTAATCAGAGAAATTCTAATAAAATTCTTTCCATACCATATTCTCTTACAATTACTATAACTTTTAGGGTAAATTCTAAGAGAAAATTCTCTCAGTGTTTTGATTAATTATTAAAAATTACTTGTAAAAACGCGCGGCGCGCACAGCACACGTTACTCGATGCGGACGGCAATAGTTTACACGGCAAGGACACGACAATCATCAATCTAAGAGAATTTTCTCTTAGAATTTACCTAGAAAATTATGGTAATCGTAGAACATTATGATGTGGAAAGAATTTTATTAGAATTTCTCTACTATTTATCATATTAAAATAATAATATGTATCACAAGAAAATATAAAATATGTTTGATTAATTTTACTATACAGTTTAGTAAAATTAATCACACATATTTCATATTTTATTGTGATAGATATGATTTTAATGTGATAAATATTAATCAGAGAAATTTTAATAAAATTCTTTTCATACCGTATTGTCTCACAATTACCATAACTTTTAGGGTAAATTTTAAGAGAAAATTCTCTCAGTGTACCGATTAATTATTAAAAATTACTTGTAAAAAGGCACACGTTACTCGATGCGGACGACAATTGTTTACACGGCAAGGACACGACAACAGACTGCGGCGACGGACGACGCGACGCGTCGCGACGCTTCGCGACACGTCTAGACGATAACAATCACGCGGCGTGCCGAACATGTGATTGACGCGAGACATGTATAAAAAACGTATAATAATTATGTTATTAAAAAAGCATATTATAACGTATTATAATTTTTTACGTTATAATTTTTATTGTTATCGTCTAGACGTGTCGCGAAGCGTCGCGACGCGTCGCGTCGTCCGTCGCCGCAGTCTGTTGTCGTGTCCTTGCCGTGTAAACAATTGTCGTCCGCATCGAGTAACGTGTGCCTTTTTACAAGTAATTTTTAATAATTAATCGGTACACTGAGAGAATTTTCTCTTAAAATTACCCTAAAAGTTATGGTAATTGTGAGACAATACGGTATGAAAAGAATTTTATTAAAATTTCTCTGATTAATATTTATCACATTAAAAAAATATCTATCACAATAAAATATGAAATATGTGTGATTAATTTTACTAAACTGTATAGTAAAATTAATCAAACATATTTTATATTTTCTTGTGATACATATTATTATTTTTAATATGATAAATAGTAGAGAAATTCTAATAAAATTCTTTCCACATCATAATGTCCTACGATTACCATAATTTTCTAGGTAAATTCTAAGAGAAAATTCTCTTAGATTGTGATTATGATTGTCGTGTCCTTGCCGTGTAAACTATTGCCGTCCGCATCGAGTAACGTGTGCTGTGCGCGCCGCGCGTTTTTACAAGTAATTTTTAATAATTAATCAAAACACTGAGAGAATTTTCTCTTAGAATTTACCCTAAAAGTTATAGTAATTGTAAGAGAATATGGTATGGAAAGAATTTTATTAGAATTTCTCTGATTAATAATTATCACATTCAAAATAATAATATTTATCACAATAAAAATATAAAATATATTTCATTAATTTTACTTTACGGTTTAGTAAAATTAATAAACATGTTTCATATTTTATTGTGATAGATATTATTATTTTGAATGTGATAAATATTAATTAGAGGAATTCTAATAAAATTTTTTCCATACAATATTATCCTACGATTACCACAATTTTCAGGGCAAATTCTAAGAGAAAATTCTCTCAGATTGTGATTATGTGTTGTAATTTGTAATCAGTTATTTATTACAATAATTTTTAATCAAGTGCGTGAGTCAAAGTGTCAATAGAATTTATTACAAAAAATGATTTCATTATGCAGTGTGTCACAGTGTGTCAATATCGGATTGTATCCAGTCAGGCAACAATTATTCGTCAAAGGACATCAAACATCTCTACAAGGTAAGAATCAGTGAGAGAGAGAGAGAGAGAGAGAGTGTGTGTGTGTGTGTGTGTGTATACGCGTACACACACACGCACACACACACACACACACACAAAACGCCGCGTGTAACAAACAGCTGATCGCTTCGAGCGCCCACGTAATCGCCCGCGTCGGATAATGTGGTGCGCCGCTCCTGATTACCGCCCGTACTCGTGCTGTAATTCGCTAACTATTTCTTTTTATATTTCAAAAACTAAGCTTCGGATAAAATTTTGGCAAAGGAAAAATCGTCTTAGAATTGAGTCAGGAATACGACATTTTAAGGACAAACGGTTGTTTTGAATCACCCTGTATAATTAACCACAATTTAACATTTAGCCGATAATAATTTTAAAAATTTGTCCTATGATTCATTCAGTGCTTTTCATTGAGAGTTATTTATATAATATTAAAAAAAAACTTAAAAGAAGCAAAAACCTTTACAAAAGCTACACAATTCGAATTGTAGAACATGTTCAGTAATTTAAAAAAAAGATTATTTTTTTCGAGAAAACCTAAAGTGATGTGAAAAATAATAAAAAATCCGAGGAACTTGGTATTGCTTCATATTAATACTAAAATTACAATAAAATTTACAATTCAACAATAAATAAAAGAGGATCAGTTTGTTATTTGCAAGATGACACGTATTGTACGCGTTAAAAATATTTGTTT